TTTTTTTTTTTTTTTTTTACAGTTGCACAGATTTCCATGATATAGTTTGGGTATTTGTTCCATCTAAATCTCATATCGAAAGTTTTTTTCAGCATATGTATTTTTATTTAGGAAAGTAAAATAAGAATATTTAGGTTTGTTTTGTCCTTTGACTTATAATTATGTAGTGATGAAATCAATATTTATGTTTTTCTAGCATTTTATTTATTTATTCCCTTTTTAATCTTTATTGAGGTGTAATTGACAAAAAATATGTATATTCAAGGTGTACAACGTGAAGTGTTGATATATGTATATATTGTGAAATGATTACTAGTCAAGCTAATTAACATCTGTCACCTCACAGAATTACTGTGTGTGTGTGTGTGTGTGTGTGTGTGTGTGTATGTGTGTTTGTAGAATTCTTCTTTTATTTCAATAGATTTAGAGGGTGCACATGTTTTTGTTACATGGATGAACTGAGTAATGCTAAAGTCAGGATCATGTCAAAATTTGATCCCCAGTGCTGGAGGCGGGGCCTCGGGGAGATGTTTGTGTCATAGGGGTGGATCCCTCTTGATCAACTTGGTACCATCCTGGTGGTAATTAGAGTGAGCTCTTGCTGTGCTCACATGAAAGCTGGTTGGCTAAAAGAGTGTGGCTCCCCTCCTTTTCTCTCTTGCTCCCTCTCTCACCATGTGACATGTCTGTCCCCCTTCACTTTCTGCCATGAGTAATAGCTTCCTGAGGCCCTCACCAGAAGCAGGTGCCCACGCCATACTTCTTGTTCAGAACCATGAGCCAAATAAACTTCTTTTCTTTATAAATTACTCAGCCTCAGGTATTCCTTTATAGCAATGCAGAATGGACTAAGACAATCCCAATACAATAGCAAAGTGATGATTCTCCTTGTTTATGGTTGATGGCCTAGCAGACTGGGAGCTGTTCCTCACAGCTATCACTTTACTGATGGTGAACTCTTTTCTCTCTTTCAGTGAAGTTCTCTCCACCATTCTGGGGAGTGTTCTATTTTGTCTGTCATTAGGTTTTATCTTTTTTTTTATATTTTGGAAATTTATTAAAAAATTTCTCATCATCTGGTCCTTCTCCAGTTGCTTTGTATTATATTTTTATAAAGTTCCTATTATTTTAATGGTGTCTCTGATTAGAGGAGGTAAAGCACATAACATCTTTAAATGTG